AAGGAGAAAACTTACTCAGAAGCCTTCTCTAAGATGTGAGAGACTTAGAACCTGGCTAGCCCGTGCTATGAATTGCTGAAACAGGTACAGAGGGGAAATAGATGGAGGCAGACTGCAGGGAGAAGGAGCTATCAGTATCACACTTCAGACATAAAGAGCTTGAAGTTCCGGTGCAACTTCCAGGTGGACTGTACATTGGGCAATTAGATAATATGGATCAGGAGCTCAGGACAAGCCTCCAGTAGAAACTGATATTTATTAGTCACTGCATTAGATGAAGCCATGGCAGCGTAATGTTGTTGCTGATAAGAGTACTTAGAGGTGAAAAGATGATCAAGGCCAGAAACTTAGAAACACCAATAGTTAGGGGAAAAGCAGAAACTAAGTCCTGTCTTCTTTGTATCTTTTACTTTTTCTGTATATTTCAAAACTATTAACACTGTCACTTTTTTATTTTATTGAAAAATATGTTAAGAATAAGTGTGACAAGATACTTTAAGATAGAATACTTCTATCTTTATATATAGAAGAAAAAAATTTCCCCTATATTTACAAAAGGCTGGGGAAACCCTGATTAAATTAGGAGTCAGATTGCTGCCCTCATTGACGAACTAGGGAGTTTCTTGACCTCTGCACTAAAGGCAGGACAAGCAGCTTCCCAATTCTGTGCTATCTGCACTAGTGGAAACTAGTGAAGATATTCCTTAGAAACTCTTAAAGATATTCCTTAGTTCACGGTTTCTCTAAGCAACTGCACCAAAGTTTCTCCAAAGTATTAAGAAAAGTCAATGCCTACTGGGTGTACAGGCATCCAGTAACAAGTTTTTCGGAAATCTTTCCTCTTTAAAAAAAAATGGAAAGGTAATGCTGATTTTGTTTTCTACTCCACAATAGGTCTGCTTTTATATAAAAATCACGTTTAAAAGTACTTATCCGCTCAATTCCTTAGCCTTTTCCCTTTCCTATTTTCCAGAAAACGCATCTTTATTATTTTACAAATGAGAAAAGTGATACTACCTCACAAAGCCATCTGTCCATCCTCACAAACTTGGAACCAGTTTCTCACTAACTCTGCAACCCTCAACACTCCCTCACACCCTCGGTCACCCACCCGTGAACCCACCCGTTTCCTACTGTAGCCCTGCCCCCAGCCACACAAGCTCTGATCACCGCACATCACAGAAGGCGATTCCTCCCCTCCACACTCCCCAACCCTGTCGCAGGCACTGCAAACCCTCCCCTCCAGCGTCCCTGGCCCGTTTCAGTGTCCAAAAACCCAAGTCCCACAGAGCCGAAACCCAACTCACCAGCAGACAAAGACCACCATGCCGAGTCGGAGAGTCCGCGCCTGCGCAGTCCTTCGGCGGGCAGCGCTCCCAGAGGTCTCCTGGGCTGGGCCAGGCCCAGGCTCAGAACCGGACGGAATCTACAGATCTTGGCCCGTCCTCCGTGCCAGTCTTTTGAGGGTAGACTACATTTCCCAGAAGGTTCAGCGGTTTGAGTCAGCTTTTCGCGTGAACTTTCTTTCCTCCGCCAGAGCTTGTGGGACTGTCTCCCTGGCCGGGGCGGGGTGTAAGGCCGAGTCTTAGTTTACTCGATCCCTGGGATTGGGTAGTGGTGTGCCACAGGTGTAAGATCAGCTTAAACACGCTGTATTGACTTCATGTAAGAGCCACGGTGCGATACTAAGCCAGGACCCCCAGGAGACTCTCAGACACGGTTCGGGAAGGAGGCTAATCCCTTTGCCTCGGCTCAAACCGGGCGCCATCTTGCCCATCGTGGGCGTGGCGCTGAACTACATTTCCCAGAAGGCGCCGCGCACTCGGTCCCTCCCCTCGCGACTCCCGCGTCTCCGTGGAGAGGTGCAAGCGACCCAGGTGCTGGGCTCTGAGCGGGTCGGCTCGGAGACTACAGGATCCGGAGGAGGTTGGAGGTGAAGCGTCTAGAATCCGGTGCGGGGGTTGATACTGAGTATTAAGTCTGTTCAGGCGGAACGGGCCGAGGAAGGGCGGTTGTGAAATTGTGATTTTGTGACTGCATGTCCTAGCACAGGGTGTGTGTGATTGTGACTGTGTGTGACACCTTGTGTACGGATGTGGGGAGGATTCTGTGGGTGTCCCGTGAGTCCCTGGGTTAGGACTGTTAATGTGTGACTGTGTAACGCTGTGTGAGGGTGTGGGTTAGCTGTGATTGTGTGCCCGCGGTGGGTGTGTGATTGTGACTCTGTGACGATATGTTCGTCTGTGTGCAGATATAGGGGGCTTTGTACTTGTGTAGTTGTGACTCTGTCCTTGTGTGGGAATATGGAGGGTGGGTGCTTGTGACTTTGTATCCAGTGGTGGGTGTGTGACTGTCAAGCACTGTGTGTGCGTGGAGTTGAGACTGTGTTTGTGTGTCTTTGACCAAATGTCACACATAGTCATATATGAGAGCAGAAGACACCTCCGTCCCGTGATACTAAAGGGGGTTTTTCTATGACACTGAGTTTGAGTTGGAAGCCCCAGTTTCATCTGATAGCCCTCCCATGGCGGGGGAGGGGAACGCAGAGTAAGCTCTGGCCATTGTCATTTGGGCACCAGGGGAGGTGTATTGTCTTCTCCCTTCTCATTTATGTCCTCCAAGAGAGGTTCCCCAGAGGAGAGGAAATAATGGTTGTGATATCTAAAAGCCATGTTTAAGGTGCCTTGAAGTTTTCTCTTTGTTCCTGAAATGCTTTGTTTTTCCAGGACATGATTTCCCCCCCCCCCCCCCCCCCCCGAGATGGAGTCTCGCACTGTCGCCCGGGCTGGTGTGCAGTGGGGCGATCTCGGCTCACTGCAACCTGTGCCTCCCAGGTTCAAGCGATTCTCCTTCCTCAACCTCCCGAGTAGCTAGGCTTACAGGTGCCGGCCACCACGCCCGGCTAATTTTTTTTTCTTTGTATTTTTAGTAAAGACGGGGCTTCACTATGTTGGCCAGGCTAGTCTCGAACTCCTGACCTCATGATCTGCCCGCTGCGGGCTCCCAAAGTGCTGGGATTACAGGCATGGGCCACGGTGCACGGCTGATTTTTTTTTTTTTTTTTTTTCTTGGCAAATGCCTAAAAGGACTTACCAAGTAACCTGGAATCTGATGTTTCTCTTTGGAAATATCGTCCAAATTTTCTCTTATTAATATAGCAAATGGTTCAGTTTATCATGTATGCCTAGTTTGGTTTTACCTATATACATATGTAGATATATATGCATATACATACAAATACACATATTTGTATATGTATATATTGACATATATCTAATATTATAAGTGATATTTTAACTTCCTACATAATTGAAAGCTATTTAAGAATATATTAAATTGTAGATACTGTTCATTGTTTTGCTACATATGTGGCTAACCCAATATCCATTCCCTTCTTTATTGCTATAAAAGTCCTGATCTTGTTTGTTTGCTCTGCTTAAATAAAGAAAAACAGAAAACCAACAAAAAAACCCCAAACTCTACATGTTCCAGCTTCTCCTGTTGATATAAGTTAAAGTTCTTAGATTGGGCTTCTCAGACAGTTCTTTTCTTTTTTCTTTTTTTTTTGAGACGGAGTCTCCACTCAGTCACCCAGGTTGGAGTGCAGTAGCATGATCTCAGCTCACTGCAACCTCCACCTCCCAGGTTCAAGCAGTTCTCCCGCCTCAGGCTCCTGAGTAGCTGGGATTACAGGCGCCCGCCACCATGCCCGGCTAATTTTTGTATTTTTAGTAGCGACAAGGGTTCTACCGTGTTGGCCAGGCTGGTCTCGAACTTCTGACCTCAGGTGATCCACCCGCCTCAGCCTCCCAAAATACTGGGGTTACAGGCATGAGCTACTGCGCCTGGCCCCTCAGGCAGTTCTTTAAAGGTGTGGGGATGGTGTGGGGCAGTCTCGGTGCGCATGCATTCTTTTCCCCCTTTCTGTCTGGAATGTGGATATCATGCTACATGCAGAGCAGCTATCTCATAACCATGTATTTTTTTTTTTCTGTTTTTTTTCAGACAGAGTCTTGCTCTGTTGCCCAGTCTGGAGTGCAGTGGCACAGTCTCAGCTCACTGCAGCCTCTGCCTCCTGGGTTCAAATGATGCTCCTGCCTCAGCCTCCTGAGTAGCTGGGACTACAGGCATGCACCACCACGCCCGGATAATTTTTGTATTTTTAGAAGACACGGGGTTTCACCATGTTGACCAGGCTGGTCTCAAACTCCTGACCTCAGGTGACCCGCCTGCCTCGGCCTCCCAAAGTGCTGGGATTACATGTGTAAGCCACCACACCCGGCCATAACCATGCATTTATAATGGAAGAAAGGGGATGAGAGTTTACAATGTCATATTAAATGAAAATAGAGGATTTTAAGTTATATATGTTGTGTGAAAGCAATTTGATTAGAAAATATGTATATTCTACCTATCTGTGCATGAAATGTATAGTTGCACTTTTTCTTCATTGTAACTAGACTCAAGCTTGTGAAAGAAGGAACTTGTCTTTTGTAGTTGCTCCATCTTCAGCATTTACAATGGCCAGCACATAGTTGGCTTTCAGTAAATATTTGATTAATGAAAGAATAGTAAGTAGTTAATCAATGATAGCAGTGCTACTTAGTTTCTTTTTGGTTGCACAGAGGAAACATGCCCAGGTTGCCTTAGGTTTCTATTACTCTCTGAGATTACTCTGTGTTAACTCTACCTCTGGGATAGGGAAGAGGTGCGCCAAGGGGTATGATAAGCCAACATTCTTCAAACTCGGTATAAGGTCTTCATCATCCTAGGACTTTTGATGTGGGGTGAAAGATATTCACTGCTTTGATTATTGTTTTCTTTGATTATTAAGTTTCTGTATCTAGAGCATAAAATATAATGAATTTTTCTCACATGTAAACTTGATTATTAATTTTGATTAATACATGTTTCTTGTCTTTTTTTTTTGAGACAGAGTCTTGCTTTGTCGCCCACGCTGGAGTGCAGTGATGCACTCTTGGCTCACTGCAACTTCCGCCTCCAGTGCAAGCGAGTCTCCTGCCTTAGCCTCCTGAGTAGCTGGGATTACAGGTGCACACCACCACGCCTAGCTAATTATTTGTATTTTTAGTAGAGACGGAGTTTCACCATGTTGGCCAGGTTGGTCTCGAACTCCTGACCTCAAGCGATCTGCCCACCTTGGCCTCCCAAAGGGCTGGGATTATAGGAGTGAGCCACCACACCTGGCCAATTCTTTGTTTTTTGTTTTTTGTTTTTGAGACGGAGTCTTACTCTGTTGTCAAGGCTGGAGTGCAGTGGCGCTGTCTTGGCTCACTGCATCCTCCGTGTCCCAGGTTCAAGTGATTCTCCTGCTTCAGCCTCCCGAGTAGCTGAGATTACAGGTGCCCACGACCACTCCCGGCTACATTTGTATTTTTAGTAGAGATGAGGTTTCGCCATATTGGCCAGGCTGGTCTCGAACTCCTGACCTCAATTGATCTGCCTGCCTTGGCCTCCCAAAGTGCTTGGATTACAGGCATGAGTCACCGCATCTGGCCAGATTTGGATTCTTAAATGCCAATTGAGTTATTAACAGAGAAATACTAGAAGCATTTTCATTACATAAGGAAAGAGACAAGAGTACATATTTAACTTCTTTTTTTTTTTCTTAAGATGGAGTTTTGCTCTTGTTGCCCAGGCTGGAGTGCAATGGTGCCATCTCGGCTCACCACAACCTCCGCCTCCCAGGTTCAAGTGATTCTCCTGCCTCAGCCTCCCAAGTAGCTGGGATTACAGGCTTGCGCCACCACGCCTGGCTAATTTTTTATGTTTAGCAGAGACAGGGTTTCTCCATGTTGGTCAGGCTGGTCTCGAACTCCTGACCTCAGGCGATCTGCCCGCCTTGGCTTCCCAAAGTGCTGGGGTTACAGGTGTGAGCCACTGCACCCAGCCCTTAACTTTTTTTTTTTTTTTTTTAAAGAGATACTTGTTAGAGTAATTAAACAAGTAAAAAAATTTAGAGGCAAAAAAATTCTGAAAAGAGGAAACAACAATGACATTAAATGTATAACTCCATAGGAAGTATGTCTGGAAGATAAATGTTTATGTATATATTTTTAATCACCCTCTGAACCTGAACTTGAGTTAATCAGACTCATTTATCACTAATCTTTACAAGGACTCTGTTGATCTGTTTCCAACACCATACTCTATTTCCATTCTCTTTCCACTGTAGACACTCATTCAAAATGATTCATTTGTTGGACATGGCAGCTCATGCCTGTAATCCCAGCACTTTGGGAGGATGAGGCAGGCAGATCACCTGAGTTCAGGAGTTTGAGACCAGCCCATCCAACATGGCAAAACCCCGTCTCTACTAAAAATACAAAATTAGCCAGGCGTGGTGGTGCGCACCTGTAATCCCAGCTACTCAGGAGGCTGAGGCAGGAGAATCGCTTGAACCTGGGAGATGGAGGTTCCCATGAGCCGAGGTCATGGCATTACACTCCAGCCTGGATGACAGAGTGAGACTCCATCTCAAAAAAAAAAAAAGATTAATTTTATCTTTATGCTTGAAAATGTTCTTACAAAGCATATATTTTACATACATGTATTTTAAAAATCTATATAAATAATGCCTCCTCTTCTTTTTCACTAATCACAATATTTTTACAATTATCTGTTACTATGTAAACATTTATTTCAAAGTATTGATCACGTTACCTACCTACTCTTCCAGGGAGTGGACATGCAGATTGCCTCCATACCCTCCGACTACAGGAAATGCTGAAATTAATCATCTCATACATATCCCTTTATGGGCCAGTTTGACAGTTTCTTAGGCCACCGAATTTCTGGGTCATAGGATATGAGTTTACTTGACTAAGTGGTGCCAAATTCCCTCCAGATTGGTTGTACGAGTCCAGACTTCCACCACTATGGAATGAGAGTTTCCATATCCCACATCTGCATGAACACAGCACTGTGTAGCTCTCTCATAGTTATCAGTCTAAAAGTTATAAAGTAGTATTTCTTTGTAGTATTAATGTGCATTTCTCTGATTGCCAGTGATTTTGAATATCTTTTATGCTTGTTAGCTTTTTCAGCTTCTTTGTTTGTAAATTGCCTTTTGTACCTTTTGTTAAAATGTAATTGGGATTAGTCTTTTTCTTGTTAATTTGCAAATGTTTCTTACATTTTCTAGATATTAGCTCCCTGACAGTTTTAGAACTCTGCTGATACCCTCTTATGTATTCTGTTTATTATATTTTTTATTAAATAGAAATACTTATTTTAATATTGTTATGTGTTTGTGTATATGTGTATGGCTTAAGGTATTATTATTTAAGAAACATTTTTCTGGCTGGGAGCAGTGGCTCACGCCTGTAATCCCAGCACTTTGGGAGGCCAAGGCGGGTGGATCACCTGAGGTCAGAAGTTTAAGACCAGCCTGGCCAAAATGGTGAAACCCCGTGTCTACTAAAAATACAAAAATTAATCGGGTGTGGTGGTGGGCTCCTATAATCCCAGCTACTCAGGAGGTTGAGTCAGGAGAATTTCTTGAACCTGGGAGATGGAGGTTGCAGTGAGCCAAGATCGTGCCACTGTACTCCAGCCTGGGCAACAAGAGCAAAACTCTGTCTCAAAAAAAAAAAAAAAAGAAAAGAAAAGAAAGAAATATTTTTCTTTTCTAAGGTCACGAAGAAATTCTTCTACATTTTTGTCTATTGACTTTGTAGTTCTATCTTACACAATTAGGTCTTTAACCTATTCCAGAGTAAAATTTTGTATTTTCAAAAAAAACGATTCTCCCATAATTGTCTCTTGCAGCCCTTCTCTGTGAGATGGTATTTTTTCCTGCCCCTGGATGAAATGTCTGGCAAGTGTCATTATAGTCAAAAATCCAGGGAAGCTGAGGCGGGCAGAACATGAGGTCAGGAGATCAAGACCATCCTGACTAACACAGTGAAACCCCATCTCTAATAAAAAAAATACAAAAAATTAGCTGGGTGCGGTGGCAGGTGCCTGTAGTCCCAGCTACTCAGGAGGCTGAGGCAGGAGAATGTACTTTAAACTGTTTAAGACTTCTTCCTACAGCTGAATCTTATATAAAGATGGAAAGGAATATGTGAGCAGCTTCCTTTTTCCCTCCATGGTCTTCTCAGCTTCCTCCAACAGTAGATTGCTCAGCCTCCCTAAAGCAGGAGAAGAGGAAGGGGAAGGAAGAAAGGTAAGAGACAGGAAAGGGCCGGGCGCAGTGGCTCAGGCCTGTAATCCCAGCACTTTGGGAGGCCGAGGCGGGCGGATCACAAGGTCAGGAGATCGAGACCATCCTGGCTAACACAGTGAAACCCCATCTGTACTAAAAATACAAAAAATTAGCCGGGCGTGGTGGCAGGCGCCTGTAGTCCCAGCTGCTGGGGAGGCTGAGGCAGGAGAATGGCGTGAACCCGGGAGGCGGAGCTTGCAGTGAGGCGAGATCGTGCCACTGCATTCCAGCCTGGGCGACAGAGCGAGACTCCATCCCAAAAAATAAAAATAAAAAATAAAAGAGACAGGAAAGGTCTTACTTAACTGGTATTGTTATAATCAGTGTTTGGTTCTCTCCTGCCTTCATGGATAGGCAAAGCTCACCCTTTTTCTTATTGATAGGCGTTTTTCCGGGTTTCTAAGCAAATACCTTGCTGCAGATCTTCAACTGCAGGGGAGGCCATGTTGTCAGAACATCCTGTTTACAGAGGCCACTTAAAATCCTTTCGTTAACTGTAGGCATACTGTGGTCATCCTTTTCTGGTGGGTCACATTGATCCTCCAGAAGTTCTCTAGAACAGGATCCAAGATCTCCTGAGGTCAGCTTACTCCATATGGTCCATATCCTGTCACCACGTGCGAATCAAGTTCCTATCTCTGTTTCCCCTAAATGCCAGGAAAAAAGGTGACATTCTCCTAATAACTCTCTTAACACACTCCCCTTTGGATATTAGAGGGACTGGGATGGATCGGGTCAACTTGCTTGGTTTGATTAGAGGAGGAAACATCCACCTCCTTTCCTCAGGGTGCTGAGAACACACCCACAGCTCTTCCCAAAAATAGTCCCACCTCACAAAAAGTCCTCTTCCTCAGCCTTCCCAGCCTCTCACATATCCTTGAGAAACTGGCTATAAACAATTTTTGCTATGGAGAAACCCTGTCTCTACTAAAAATACAAAATTAACTGGGCATGGTGGCACATGTCTGTCATCTCAGCTACTTGGGAGGCTGAGGCAGGGTAATTGCTTGAACCTGGGTGGCGGCGGTTGCGGTAAACTGAGATTGCACCATTGCACTCCAGCCTGGGCAACAGGAGTGAAACTCAGTCTCAAAAAAAAAAAAAAAAAAAAAGATGGAGTCTTACTCTGTACTCCAGGCAACCTTGGCTCACTGCAGCCTCAACCTCCTGGGCTCAAGTAGTCCTCCCACCTCAGCTTCCTGAGTAGCTGGGACTATAAGCACATGCCACCACAGCTGGCTAATTTTTGTTTTTTTTTCCTAGACTGCGCCCGGCCTAGAAAGCAATTTTAAACAAATTTCAAGAAGGTGGCTGGATATAAAATATGCCAAAATAGTACATATAATATATATGATATACATATATATATGAAAACAACAGATAGAAGATTCAATTGAACAAGTTGTGAAAGACCCCAGCAATGATGGACATAAAAATATAAGTTACTAAGGAATATAATTAGCAAGAATTGGTATAACCTTATGAAGAGAACTTGAATATGGAGGGACTAATCAGAAAACAAGTGAAAAAGCATAATATAGGATGCCTCAAACTCCTAGCAATTTAAAAACTTAATTTGTAATAATTTAGAGTGATCCAAATCTGATAATTATTAATAAATTAATAATTGTTTTATTAAAGACAAGTTAATTCTGAAGTTCATGTGAAAAAGTCAATATGGCAGACAGAATAGCCAGGAAAATTCTGAAAAAGAGTAATTCAGAACATTTACTCTACCATATGTTTAAACATAAAATAATAGCCTTGGCTGGGTGCAGTAGTTCATACCTGTAATCACTAAAAGCACTTTGAGAGGCCGAGGTGGACGATCACTTGAGCCCAGGATTTTGAGACCAGCCTGGGCAACATAATGAAACACCATCTCTACAAAAATACAGAAATTAGCTGGGTATGTTGACACATGCACATAATGTAGTCTCAGCCATCCTCCCAAATGCTTTGGGAGGCTGAGGCAGGAGGATAGCTTGAGCCTGGGAGGTCAAGACTGCAGTGAGCTGTGATTGCACTACTGCACTTCAGACTGGGTGACAGAGTGAGACCCTGTCACAAAATAAAAGTCTTAAAATAGCATGGTTCTGACAGATAAGCAGACAGATCAGTGGAGTGGAATAGAAACTCCAGACCCAGTAGGTAGTATATTCTTCACAAGATAAAGACAGCATTTCTAATTGGGGGCACACATATCGATTATTTAGTACTTCGTTTATAATATACAACTGTATATTGTAACCATTGTGGAGGGAAAGAAAATAGGTCCTTAACATTTCATATCTACTATTCCAAGTGGATCAGAGATTCAAATGTGAAAGATGAAATCATAAAAGTTCTAGAAATAATGTGGAAAAAATGTTAGCCTCAGGACATGGAAATCATTCTAACACAAATCCTAGAACCCATAATTGAAAATAATAATAAATTAATTTTTTTTACTTGGCAAAAAACTATTAATGCTAAAACTCCAAAAGATAATTGATAGCCCGGGAAAACTTACCTGCAACATATATCCCAGAAAAAGCTAATTTTAATGAAATGAAAGTACTGCCTATCTAATAAGGAGGAAAAATAATCCAAAAGAAAATAAGCACGGGATATAGAGATAGTTCATAGAAAAGGAACAAAAAATGGCTTTTTGGTATGCATGTTTTCTTCTGTTTGAACTGTCATAACAAAATATCACAGACTGAGTAGCTTAAAAAACATAAATTTAGGCCAGGCACGGTGGCTCATGCCTGTAATCCCAGCACTTTGGGAGGCCGAGGCGGGTGGATCACAAGGTCAGGAGATTGAGACCATCCTGGCTAACTTGGTGAAACCCCGTCTTTACTAAAAATACAAAAAAATGAGCCGGGCGAGGTGGCGGGCGCCTGTAGTCCCAGCTACTCGGGAGGCTGAGGCTGGAGAATGGCGTGAACCCGGGAGGCGGAGCTTGCAGTGAGCTGAGATCGCACCACTGCACTCCAGCCTGGGCGACAGAGCCAGATTCCGTCTCAAAAACAAAACAAAACAAAAACACATAAATTTATTTTCTTATAGTTCTGAAGGCTGGAAGTTCAAGATAAAGATGCCAGTAGGGTTGATTTCTGGTGAAGGGCTGTCTTCCTTGCTTGTAGATGGCCACTTGCTTTTGTCTTGACATGGCTTTTCTTCTGTGTTTGGAGGAGAGAAAGAAATCTCTGGTGTCTCTTCCTCTTCTTGTAAGAACATTATCAGATTAGGTTCCCACACTTACAACTTTCATTTAACCTATTTAATATCTCCTCAAAGGTCCTATCTTCAAATCTAGTTCCATCAGTCATTTGGGCTTTAACATGAAATACAGGTAGACACATTTCAGTGTACAATAATGTGAAAAGATAATTATCCTCGCTGATAAGAACAAAATGTAAATTAAACCTATAATTTTTACCTAGTAAAAGTTTAATGTTAACTAGATTTTTTCAGATGTAAGGCCAGGCATGGTGAGTCATGCCTGTAATCCCAACACTTTGGGAGGCCGAGGTGGGCAGATCATTTGAGGTCAGGAGTTCGAGACCAACCTGGCCAACATGGTGAAACCCTGTCTATAGTAAAAATACAAAAATTAGCCGGGTGTGGTGGCATGTACCTGTAGTCCCAGCTACTCAGGAGGCTGAGGCAGGAGAATCACTTGAACCCAGGAAGGGAGGCTGCTGTGAGCCGATATCATGCCACTGCATTCTAACCACCTTTTTTTCCCAATAGTGACATGGTTCAGGTCTGTGTACCTACCCAAATCTCATGTCAAATTGTAATCCCCAATATTGGAGTGGGGCCTGGTGGGAGGTGATTGGATTATGGGGTCAGATTTCCTCCTCGGTGCTGCTTTCATGATATTGAGTGAATGCTCGTGAGATTTGGTTGTTTAAAAGTGTGTGGCGCCTCCCCACTCTGTCTTCCTGCTTTGGCTACGAAAGATGTGCCCGCTTTCCCTTCACCTTCTGCCACGATTTTAAGTTTCCTGAGGCCTCCCCAGCCATGCTTACTGTTGA